GAGAGAGAGAGAGAGAGAGAGAGAGAGAGAGAGAGAGAGAGAGAGACAGAGGGAGAGGTGAGGCTGACCTCCTTCAAAAAGAACAGAGAGCACAGTGTCCCGCTCAAGCAAATAACACCTGCGACGAACGTGGCGAGAGCATATGGATAATCGACCAAGAATTGTACTTTGCCGAACGCTCCAGGATACTGTGTGGCAGGATTGGCAAGAGCGCCGCCTACAGTAGTATTATCATATGCCTCGTCAGCACATTTACGTCTTCATTCCTTTTTCCCGGTCAGAAACACAGCACATACCAATTAAAGGTCCCACCAAAATCCCCATATTCCTCGTGAACATGTACCAACTGAATGCCCTTCCCTGAGTTTCCTTGGTCGTGATTTCCGAAAGCATCGTCCTCACCGTCACTACCGATCCGGCGAATACACCAGCCAGACATCGGAAGAATATCATCTGCCATAACGTCTTGCTCAATCCGAAAAGTGCTGTGGCGATACTGACGCCGGTCAGAGAGAAGACTAGAATCGGTTTTCGTCCGACACGGTCTGCCTAGAGAGAATCACAAACCACAACCATCAGTAGTCAAGAAGCAAGAAGCATTTCGCGGAAGAAAGAAAAAGAAAAAAAAAGAAAAGAGATTGAAATGATTTGATTTACCATTCGCCCATAAAAGATCATCAGAACCATCTGAACAAGAGAGAAGAGAGATTCAATCGTTCCACTCCAGAACCCAACATCCTCTTCGGGGAGATTGCCATTGCGCGAGAGCATCTCGTTGATAAAGGGAAAAATGGCAAAGTATGCTACGGGTTCTGCCAGGGAAGCGTAGCAGAGGATCAAGACTTGCTTGTAGGGCATAGGCTGGGCTGAGTCTGATTTCTGTTTGGAGGGAAGGCTGGAGAGCGTGGCATTTTTGCTGAGGAGTTGGGGAGGACTCTTGCTGGAGCTATTGGTCGATGTATCTCCATTGGTTGTTATTGATGCTGTGGCGGCGTAGTTTGTCAAGAGGCGACTGGACTCTGGGTTCCCGAGGAGAGGAGTTGCTTCACTACTGGCAGCGTCGATTGTATCGGATCGGGAGACGTCCGGTGAGGGAGCCATCATGCTCTGCTTGGGTTTGTCTATCGAGACGTTCTTGTTGTCATTCCAGATCGATCACAAAGGGGGTCTGGAGAAGTTAAGGATATATTGGCAGTAATGTGATGTTGATGTTGATTCAGTGTTGGGAGCCAAGAGAGGGAATCTTCTGCACATGGCGTCTAGCTGCGGTGAGATGTACGCACCGTCGGGTGGCCGTGTATAGCGCCGGCGAAGGACGCATATTGAGGCACACCTGCCCTTGGCCTCGGCGCGATGTCGACGCGGGTAGATCCGGCACTAGAGCTCAAATTCAATCTTACATAATCGAGAAATCCAGAAATAAAATCCAAATTGTATGGACTTTCCAGACAGGTAGAAAGTCGCGCCTTACAATACATACCAACAATCATGTCGCAAGAGGAGGCCAGCAGCATATCTCGCAAGGAGAAGAAGGCCAAGCGTGATGCTGAGAGAGCGCAGCAAAAGGGCAAGAAGCGGAAGCATCGCGAAATCCCAGAACCCGATGCTCTTCCCAAGCAGGACGACGACGACGTTGGGGTGGAAGAAGTGGCAGCAGAGGGTGTGAAGAGTGCAACGAAAGCGTCGAAGAAGCGCAAAGCCGGCGACACCTTCGAAGATGCCACCGCAGATCCCACTCTCGCCGTCACCACCTCCGCCTCCACCGACAAAGACGACGACGACAACACACAACCGAAAAAGAAGCGCCGGAAATCCAAAAAGACAGCCGCCACCACCACAATCACCGACGAGGATGGCAACACCACCACAGGTCCACCGAAGAAGTCGCGCTTCATTGTCTTCGTCGGTAATCTGCCCTACAAAACCACAGACTCCAGTCTCCAAAAGCACTTTGCAAAGCTCCAGCCCTTCACCCTCCGCCATCGAACAGACCCCAAGACGAACAAGTCTAAAGGCTTCGCATTCCTCGAATTCGAGAACTATGATCGGATGAAGACATGTCTCAAAATTTACCATCATACTATGTTCGACCCCGAGGCAATTGACAGCGGGAAAGTGGAAGGAGGGCCGGATGCTGGTGCCATGCCGTCGGGGACGGGAGCGAATAGTCACGGGGATAACGTGAATGGTTTCCACCCCGAGAGACAACGTCAGATCAGGGGAAGACAGAAAGAGACGGCAAGAAAGATCAATGTGGAGTTGACGGTCGGAGGGGGTGGTGGTAAGAGCGATGAGCGTAAGGAGAAGATCAAAGAGAAGAACGAGCGATTGAATGAGCAGAGGGAGAGGAGGGCGGAGCTGGAGAAGAAGGAGTTGGCGAAGAAAGCGGCGAAGGAGGGCGGAGCGAAGAAGATCAAGAAGACGGGTGCGAATGCGGATGTTGTGGTTCAAGAGGAAAATATCAGACCGGAGAAGGCGAAGGTAGAGGACGGAGCAATACATCCTGCAAGGTTGGCTATGATGGGACGATAGCGACATGGACACGTTCTGGTCGTGGAGGACACAGATTTACCCCGTACAAACAAGTCATCATCGACGGCCGGTCCATCTCACGCCTGGCCGCGCATTGCATTGCACTGTCCCGGCGACTGTGCGAAATATGGTATTCGGGCAAAAGTTTTGGCCGGAGAAGGTGCTGGTCGTGGTGCTTCAGAATTCCGCGGTATGTATAGAAGAGGTGCACACGAGCAATCATCATCATGAAAGATGAACGAAGGACGATTTTGAAGCCATCTTCAGGACTCTGCAGTGGCAGCAGCTGAGCCGGGTCATCAGATCTGACGCATCAAGTTGATCAGGCCTGCTGCAGAGGCACGACAGTGATGAAACGATCCATGGTTGCAGATGAAGGAAAGGATCTCTATTACTCGAGACTAGGTGACGAGGCTGCGCACACACCTACATGTATTGTGCCACGAGCGCTTCCAATTCCTCCGGTGTCTTCTCTTTGATTCCCAACAATTCGTTGTCGGTCTTATCACTCCAGTTGTTCCCATACTCGGAATTGAAGATACTGACAGCCACGAAGCTCAGCATGGACGAGAAATCGCCCTTCCCCAGCTTTTCATACGCATCTTTCTCCACTTCCTTCGAACTGACCTCCACTCTCTCCACCTTCAACTCGGGATTCTTCTTCAACGCAATCTCCAACAACTGATTCTGACTGACCGCCGCACTCTGCACATAGACGGCGCGGTTCTTGAACGCTTCTGGCTTCTTCAAAATCGCAGCCACCGTCTTCCCGACATCCGCCAACGTCGTCGAACTGTGTTTATCATTTCCTCCATCATAAATCTGCGTCGGCCCACCCTTCACATTCGCCCAGAAGCCCACCATCAGTCCCCAATCCAGAAACAGCCCATTCACCACGATTGCATAACTGATCTTATCCTCCTTGGCCTTCAAATACTCCTGCGTCTTCTTCTTGCCAGCAAACACAGGAAGCGCAGCAACTTGTGGACTCCCCGCAATATCCGAGCCGAATTCACTCGGGACGAAGAATTTGACTCCTGCTGCAATGGCAGCGTCAATGAGAGCTGGTTGCTCCTCGTGTTTTGGTATCAGCGAAACTACGGCATCTTGGCCCTTGAGGGCTTGTACGAGAGAATCTTGCGAGCTGTAGTCGACTTTGATGGTCTGCACTGAGGAAGGTAGGTGCGAGGTTTTGCCGCTTTGGGAGAGCGCTGTGATGGTGAAACCTGCGTTGACGAGTTCTTGGACGACAGACGGTCCAAGGTTGCCTGTGGAGCCGGCAATGGCGATTCTTTGGTAGGCCATTGGGGGAGAGGGGGAGTGAGAGGTATTCAGGTAAGGTCTTGAGAGAGAGAGGTTTCGTCGTTGGTTCTGTCACAATTAATGCAGAACAGTCTTCTCCTTGTTGATTTATCCTGAGGATGCTAGTTGATCTGTCGTGTAATCTTTTCTTGATTATTGATCATAAAAGTCCAGAATGTTCCGTCTTCCGCCCTATGATGGAGCGATGTTGACTGCCGAGCTCTCTCGATCACGTCGAACCGAGAGTATTTACCGGGGTGTCAGCGTCGGAACAGTGGTGCTTCACGTATCCGGAGTGGAAGTCTAGATCTCTGATTGGGTGGGTCTGATTCCGCGTTGCTGACAAGCGCAAGTGTCAAGGGACAGGACGATCTGAAAGGACGATTCGGAAATGACTAAGCAGTAGGCTTCCGGATGACTAAGCTTTGGCGCGGATTAACGTTAGCTCCGGCTGCTGAATATTACTTACATACATATATATTAACTACCTACATAAAGCACTATTCAATACTATATAATCTACTACTTTACGGCCTACAAAGCGCGTTTGACGACCTCTAGCCCTATTACTCTTAGTCTCGACTGTATAGGCCCCGTTACTCTCTATCTCGACTATACGGGATCCGTTACCTAACCCTAAGTCGTTAGATTTACTATATATAATACTACGGCCGCGACCGCGTAGCCGTCTATATCTATATCTACATCCGCGTCTACGGCTACGTACTAGCTTAGTAGTATTAACCGCTACTAACTTATTACTTTCGGCTATTTATAGTACGTCGGCTATAATAGTACGCTACTAAGCCGCGAATTCGGAGCGTAACGCGATAGTAGTAGCCTTCTTAGCTAGTACTATATCTTTACTAGCTACCTCTACGCTCGTTATAAGCCTATTAGTTGTCTTATTGCCGCGTTTCGGCAACCGCGGCAGTAGTAGATACTAAGCTAGCTTTATAGGTACCGTAAATAGAACCGCTTCTAGTAGTAAACAGTCGCGTTAAGTAGCCTATAGGCTAGTTAAGTAGACGGCTTCGAACGCTTCGAGCTTGTCTATATAGGCGTTATAGTCCGCGGCTCGTAGTAATAGTAAGCAACTTAACTAGCGTAGTATAGAAGCCTGTATACGATCGTAACTATCTGCGCGTTATAGTAATACCTCCTATAGGCTATCCGTCGTAGCGTCGTATTGATTCTACTATTGTAGTATCTACTATATAGTGTTACTAGCGTAAACGCTATAATTGCTCGTAAAGTAACGAGGGTATAATATACTATAGGCAATCGCCTTCCGTTCAATTACTATAGATAGTAGTATATAATTATACGGCAGGCCGTATTGTTCAACTTTACTACAATCTATATAGTAATCGCGTATCGGATACGGCTCTGCCGTTACTACCGAGCGCGTATAATTGGCCTTGTCTACTGTACGTTTAATACCGAGAGCGTTATACTATAAAGCTAGTAGCCTATCGATTGTCTATATCGTTACTTAGCTATTAAGTTACGCGAAGTAACCGAGGTTATTAGACGCTACGGCCTATAGTAGTAAACCAATATACGTATTTTCCTCTAACCGTTCTAACTTATTAAACAGCTTATCTAGATACTATTTAATACCTTTAACGTACTGCTCTAGTAATAAGTATAGTAGTAGATACCCCTTTACGCCGCGATTGCTGCCTTCTACGCGCTATAACGAGCGCGCTCTATTATTCGGTAAATGCTTAATATAATACGTAAGCAGCCGCTACTTAATAACGATATAGGTATTACGGAAATATTCGGTATCCTCTACCGTCAATCCGTTAATAATAGCCGCCTCGAGTTTATCGGCAGCTTCGGCTATATCCGCTTATAACTATAGCTATATAAGTACTTTTAGTTCCGTCTTCTGCTCGGCGGTATAGCCTAGTTTATAGGCTCGTATACGTCTTAGTGCTGTATTACGTACGGTCGGTTCGGTCGATTTATCGTTAGTAGCTATAATAGTAGCTTAGTATACTTTACTATCGGCGGCCTCGGTACGTACTACGCGTACGGTACCCTTATCGATACGCTTGTAAAGGTTTTAAGCCGCGTACTATTAACAGAATTGCTAAATACAGCGCTAAAATAGTAACTCCGGAATAGCTACGATAAGGCCGGCTCTAGTATCTAAGATAATTACTTTATTAAGCCGATAGTTACGTAGATAGTTGTTAAATACGACAAGTAGTATAAACAGCTAATCGTCCTTACTCTCTAACTTTATTAGTAAATAATATATTGGAAATAACCGTCCGGTATTAGTAACCCCTATAAATACCCCGAGTAATAGACCGGCGCGATTAGTACTAAACGTAGCGTCTATCTAGAAGCTATAGTCCGGTACGAACCGTATAGTAAAGCGCGCTATACGCGACTACTAGTAAACAATCTGCTTAAGTAATAGGCCTCATTATAGGTACAACCTACCCTAGTAGGTATATAGGGTAGGTTAGGTATTAGCAATACCTAATAGGTATAGGTATTTAGCTAGGTATACCCAACCTATCGGGTTGGGTACAAACCTAGTAGGTATTGCGATACCTAGTAGGTATTGCGTACCTATTGGGTATTGAATCTTCGTATATAGAAATAAAAAACCTAGAAACCGGGTGCCCTAACGAGAGCGAAGAAGCGATTTATTTGGACTAGGCATAAGAAAAGAAACTGTATATAAACCCGATATAGATACGAAAGTGAAGATTATAGTTAAATTGAATAAAGAAGCTCAGGATTATATATACGCTATGCTACAAGTTGTGATATTTTGAATCTTAAGAAATATAGTCGGTAAATATAGTCGGCAGGTAAACTTTATACAAGCTTAAAGCAATCTCCCTATAATCGTCTCGTAGCATCCCGGAGGCACTCTTGCGCAAGCTTGAAGCTTAGGCGTACTAATCGCCTTAGCTCCTCTACTATATCACCCTCGTTATCGCTAATCGTATCTAAGTTACTGATCCGTTCTATAAGATCTTTCGTCTGCTCTCGGTCTTTACTAAGGATCTCCTATGAAGTTAGAGTACTAAGAAGCGCTTAGGAAACCTCTATAGCCTCCTAGGCGATAAGAACTCTAGCATCGTACTTATCGTCCCGATAGCGAAAACGAGATACTATTAATCTAGAGAATGTTGCTGCGGTGTATTGGCGATTAAAACGACTTTAGTGTCGAGCGATACTGAAATCGCGCTTATACCTAACTCCGGCGGCAGGAATGCAGAGAATATCCCGCGCTATTAATACGAGAGTAGGGTACTTAGACTCTATTGAAGACTACGTCTTTAGTACCTCGAATAGATCCCCTTTATCTATATCAGCGTCCAAATAGTCGGCGAGCTCGTCATCCTCGTTAGTACTGTGTCTTTGACTTTGAGAAGACTCTATACTCCTACTAAGAGTAAAGTCGATATAGCCTTTATGCCGACTCCTTCCAAAACGGCCCTACTAGGTAGAGGTACTCGATAATGAACGATAGCTCTTCTCCTACTCTGCCCTTAGCTTACCCTCGTAATACGTACGGTAACTTTTATCCCTAAAGTCATCGCGTACCCAGAACTTCCGCTTAAGGCAGGGGGTAAGGAGGACGCTAATACCGTAGTAATCGCCAAATCGATCCTAGGTATCTCGATAATATTTCTCTAGCTTAGCCTAAGCAGCCTCGTATGCCTGAAAGACATCCTTCTTCTAGGGTATCCGCTTATTCTTAAGTCGCTTTATCGCCTCCTCTAGAATATCGAAAAGCTTGTTGTAGTATACGAGGACAAGGTAAATCGTCGGACCTTTCGTAGTTCTAATCACCGCTGTCGCCGCTGCAATGTTTCGTAAGGTCGATAAGGTACTCTACCCTTTGC